TTTTGTAACCCTAGAATCCTCGACAACGGAAGTTCTTCATCGAGCTTTGCTGAGGATTGAGTTAATCGAATCATTCGACTCATTCAGATCCATTCTTGTGTTTTTATTTTATTGTTTCTGCTTTCTTGATTTGCCTGTTATAAAGATCTAATCAATCAAAGATTTTTATAAACTCATCAGCAAAAAAATTTAAACTTAAAGGACCAAATAGGAAAATACTTGGAGTCAAATGTTATAGGAATAGCTTGTCGTATCTATTTTGCTATGGAATTTCCTATAGAATTGCATTTCATAGCTAATCTTTGAGTAGCTACGGAATTATGCTACGAAATTGAAAATAGTAGCTACTCTACTATGGACTTTGCTATATAATAATTAGACATATGTATATTTGCTACATAACTAGCTATGAAATTACGTTCTGTAGCTAATATTTGAAGGACTACGAAATTTTGCTACGTAATCGGAGTCCGTAGCTAGCTTGCTACAAAATTTGCTAAGGAAGTATAAGTCGTAGGTATTTTGCTACAAATTTTAATATGGATGTAACACTCGTAAAATTCAAGCCAATTTAAAACTTTTTAAACAATTCAAAACCCATTAGTCATTACAAAATGTTTTCAAAATAGTTTAATATCAGAGTATCCTAGAAACAAAGTCATAAAAAAGGGAGGAGTTGTACGATCACGCCTTTGCCTTGCCACGATCCCCTGATGTATCTGAAACAATAACTTAAACTATAAGACCAAAAACTTAGTGAGTTACCCCCAAAATACTGATTCACAAACATGTCCAATAACACATGAACATATAACATATCATAACAAACTAAATAGAACAACACGTAACGGGTCCACAGCTTTACAGACTGGAATACCCCTGGGCCCACAGTATGAGTCTAAAATGCCTACCGGGCCCTCAACTCACATTTGGATTGCCATCGAGCTCTCAGTACAACATAGCCCTCAGCTCCTTTCTGGAATGCTCCTAAGTCCTCAGTATGAGTCTGGAATGTGTACCGGGCCCTCAGCTCATATATGGAATACTATAGGGTTTGTTGGTTACCGCACGGAGCAGTACAACCTCAACCCAACCTACATAACATGTCGACATGTAATAGATAAATGCACATACAGGTAATCAATCAACATCACAGGTAGTCCTACAGACCTACCATACTAGCATATCAACTGGCATATATCACTAACTCTAACTCAACATATAAGTAACTACTAAGATATCAAATCTAATGGGATGGCCTTGGTGCCTTAGACCCCTTAGTACAGTGAGGATAACTCCTCTGGCACTACTGAAGTCTCGCAGATACTACTCCAGTTGTTGGCTGACAGAGTCCCAAACTTCAACATCAAACAATACCCAGTTAGCAATTAGGTCCCAAACCATAATCCTTAATCCATTCATGGTGTAAAATGACCATTCTACCCCTGGCCTAGTATGATCCAAAACTAAGGCCCAAACCCAAAACAAAAGCCCAACACTATAATGTCCATGAATCCATCAATGGTCCAATTTTCCAAATTGGGCCCAAACCTCTACACGGGTGTTGTCCAAAAGCCCAATAATTTCCTTAGTCCTTAATCCTCTTTCCATTTGGCCCAATAAGGCCCACATCAACCTAGTCCAAGAATTGACCCAAACCGAGGCCCACAATTGCAAAGTCCTTTTCTATATTGGGCCACAATGCCCAATAGACCCAACTATTCCAATATTGGCCCAAATATATATTTATGCCCAACAACCAGTAAATCCAGGCCCAAAAACATTAGGGCCTAAAGGTCCAAAGTCTACAAAGGCCCAAGCCCTCCTGAGAGCGTACGGCCAGCGTACCTCTCCTGTACGCTTAGCGTACTGGGCAAAAGGGTTGTACGCGCAACGTACTACATTTTACGCCCAGTGTACAAACGGATTATGCACAAATTCCATTAAGTGCTTAATGCTTCAAACCAAGGGACCAAATTACAGATATGAGCTCTACTTAACGTCTTAATTCATAAAGTCACTAACTTGGTGACTTATATGACCCACATGAACCCAAACTCAAGGTCTAGCAATCTACTTCCATGAAAATGACCATAACTCTTGCATGAACCCGTTAAGACCTCCAAGATGGAAACCTTCCTGCCTAAGGGACTCAAATTGTAACATCCGAAAAACACAACCAATTTAAAAATTTTCAAAGCAACCCGATTTTCATTAAAATGTTCACAAAAAGGTTTTCAATACAATTCATTTAAGTATTCCCAGAATCACGTTGTTACAAATTCATGAGGAACGGTACGATCGCGCCTTCGCCTTGCCACAGTTTCCTGAAGAACCTGAAAAACATTAAACCACAACTGTAAGCCCGAAAGCTTAGTGAGATACCCCCAAAATACCAACCAAGCATACGCCTTTCCAGGCCGTGACCTTCCGGTCCAAAACATATAAAGCATACATAACATAACAGAACATAGAACAATCATGCATATCGGGTCTACCGTGACTGGTCCGCCGTATCGGGCCTTCAGTCCATCGGATCCATCCTCCGGGTCTAGTCATGTCCTTCGAGTCTACAGTGGGGTTGGTCCGCCCGCATCGGGCCTTCAACCCACCTGGTCCACTCTCTGAGTCTACAGTGTGACTGGTCCGCCCGCATCGGGCCTTCAGTCGGCCTGGTCCACTCTCCGAGCCTCGGCACGTCTGGTCCGCCCTCGTGGGGCCTACAGCCTATCCGGACCGCTCGCTGGGCCTTCGAAACAACCGGTCCGCCCTGGGTATCTTGGCCTACAGCACAAAGCAGGACCCGCCTCAACCCATCTCTAGTCCAAACAACCATGTGCACAAAACATACATTCGCATAACAGTCATAATCAACAAACCGAGTAAACAGATCACATAGCATATCATTACTCTAACCGGGCTACCGACCTACCCGTTCACTAGCATAGCATTACTCTGCATATCGAGAACTGACCTTAACAAGGTCCCCTAGCATGCATCATCCTAACTACCAGGATGCAGACACAACTAACAATAACATGATAAACGTAACTGAATCTCAATACAATAAAGGGCCGGCCTTGGTGCCTTAGACCCTGTTGATATAGTGAGGATAACTCACCTCGAAACTGACGGCTGAAAAGGTAAGATCCCGCTGCTCCGAACTCTAACACAACTCCTTCACTGAACATCAAACAATAACCCAATAAATACCCCATAATTACCAAAAATACCCCTGGAAGACAACTGGTCAACCCTGGACAAGTCAAAGTCAACCCCTGACTGACCCTACTCGCCGAGTCAACCCGATGACTCGCCGAGTCCTCATGCTCAGAACTTCCCTCAATTAGCGACCCAACTCGCCGAGTCACCCCAAGACTCGTCGAGTGCAACAACTCTGAGTCCACTCGCGCCCAATTCACCAAGTCGTCCCTCGACTCACCGAATTCATCGACTCAACCAGAAATATTGGGACTTCCTTTACAAGACTCGCCGAGTCCAACTGAACTCGTCGAGTCCAAGGCCATCTTTAACCTACTCGCCGAGTTGTTCTTCCAACTCGTCGAGTTCAAGGCCATCTTCAAGCAACTCGTCGAGTCCACCCATGTGACTCGCCGAGTTCCACCGGTCTGAATCCATACAGAAGCATCTCAGGCCATGCAATTGATCCAAAACATAGATCCAACACCTCCTACAATCCATCCATCACGTAAAGTGGCAAACTTTACGTGAATCTACTAACGAGATCTAAGCCATTTTCACCTTAA